TCCCTGAGCGCAATACCTTCCAGGTCCATCCATGTTGTTGCAAATGGTGAGATTCCATTCCTTTTATGGCTGAGTAATACTCCATTGTGTATATGTACCATGTCCTCTTTAGCCATTCATCTATCAATGGACACTTAGGTTGCTTCCGTATCTTGGCTGTTGTAAATAATGCTGTACTAAACATAGATGTGCACATACCTTTTCAAATTAGCTATTTTGTTTTCTTAGGGTAAATTTCCTGAAGTGGAATTTCTAGGTCATGTGGTATTTCTAGTTTTAATTTTTTGAGGAACTTGCATATCGTTACATTTGCACCGGCAGGGCATAAAGCTTCCCTTTCCTCCACATCCTCACCAACGCTTGCTATTTCTTGTCTTGTTCTTGTTGATGGTGGCCATCCTAACTGGTGTGAGTGGCATCTCATTGTGGTGTCGATTTGCATTTCCCTGATGATTGGTGATGTTGAGCATGTTTCCATGTCTGTTGGCCATCTGTGTGTCTTCTATGGCAAGTGTTCATTCAGGCCGTCTGTAGCAGGCGACTCAAACTTAACATGCTCTTATCAGGAGGCTTGCCCACATACATTCATGCCTCTCTCCTGCCCTGGGCATGTAGGATAGTGCTTGCTGCTGGAACAAATAGATCCAAAACCCACAGTGGCCACTGTGAGAGCCAGGATCCTGTGGGAAATAGGGTCTTTACAGAGGTGATCAAATCAGATGAGGTCTTTAGGGGTTGGTCCTAATCCAGTATAACTGGTGTCCTCATAAAATGGGAAATTTGGTACAGAGATGTGTACACGGGGAAAGTTACATGAAGATGAAGAGAGAGATCAAGATGATGCATCTACAAGCCAAGGAATGTCAGAGATTGACTGCAGACCACCAGGGAAGACATGGAACAGATTCTTCCTCACAACCTCAGAAGAACCAGCCCTGCAGACACCCTGACCTCAGACTCCCAGCCTCCAGACCTGTGGGAGAATACATGTCTGTCGTTCAAGCCACCTAGTTGATGGTACTTGGTTATGGAAGCCCTAACGAATAGATCTACACCCATGCAGACCTCTGGGCCCCCCCTGTGTGACTCCCTCCTCCCTGGCCACCAGCCCCACTAGCCCCATTTGCTTTAGCAACTCCAAACTCTGACCTTCGTTTTCTCAGCCCAGCAGGACTGCTGGACTCTTCTGGGGTGCCACCTTCCTGTGCAGTCATCACGAAATTGTCCCCAGGCAGAGAGCTGGTGAGTGCCAGGTTCATGTGATGTGTCCTGCCTCTCTGAGGACCGCAGTCATGTGTTGACAGTTGTCCAGTGCCTGAAAACAGCTGTGTCACACTTCTGGTCCAGTTTTGTAGCTGTTGATGGCAGAAAGGCAATTCCAGTATCTGTTACTCCATCATGGCCAGAAGTGATCTAAATTCATTATTTGAATTAACTCACTGAGTCCTCTCAGTAACTTGAGATAGGTCAGTGACCTCATGAGTTCCAGATTTTAAAAACTGAGGCAGAGAAAGATGAAGTAACTAGCCCAAGGGTGTATCACAGAAATGGAGGAACTGGGTTTTGAATGTAGGTGGTTGAGCTGCAGAATCTATGTTCTTAAAAACTGAACTGTTACCTTACATAACTGGTGCCCTATGAATGCTGCGGGGGAAAATGGAAGTGCCTGTGGCCAGGACCCTCACCTGACCCTAAACTGCTTGACAATGTAACTGGCCTGCTGCTAGGCTACTGCTCCCACACCCGTGGGCAATGAGCTGTTACTGACTATGAGTCACTATATAAAGAGCTCTGCCCGGTGCTCAGGGCGGAGACGGACGTGAATTATGGACGTGCGACTGCTGGATACAGACATGATTCTGCTGCTCCACCTACCACAGAAGATTAAAGCCCAGGAAAAGCCCTTTTACCCCAAGGACGTTCCACTGTTATTTCTTGGTCTCATCAAATCCATAGTGAATTTGCCCAGGGCTGAAACCCTCAGGTGAGACAATACATTTTAAATAAGTAAATAGATGACTCTCTTCCACTTTGTGTCCCATTTACCTTCACTTCCATTTGTCAGGAAAATCCCGACATTACCCCAATCCAGTATCTTCACTTCTCCCACACCCAGACTTTTTTTTTTTTATGTTTTTGTGTATTTAATTTTTTTTTTGAGAGGGCGTCTCTCATATTTATTGATCAAATGATTGTTAACAACAATAAAATTCTGTATAGGGGACTCAGTGCACAATCATTCATCAACCCCAAGCCTAATTCTCAACAGTCTCCCATCTTCTGAAGCATAACGAACAGGTTCTTACATGGTGAACAGTACAAGGGCAGTCATATCACAGAAACTTTCGGTTTTGATCACGCATCATTAACTATAGACAATCAAGTCAGATATGATTATTCATTTGATTTTTATACTTGATTTATATGTGAATCCCACATTTCTCCCTTATTTTTTTTTTAATGAAATGCTGAAGTGGTAGGTAGATGCAAGATAAAGGTA